CAGGGTTGGGTGCTCTGCCCATCGGCTGCAGGGGAGCCGGGGGCAGATGGGGGGAGCAGGAGGAGCTGGAAGGACTGGAGAGAGCCGGGGGGAGCTGTGAGGAGCCGGGGGGAGCCAGAGGGGCCGACCCAGGCACAGCGGGGCCCTCACCTCCCCCGGACAAAGCAAACATTTGCCGGCGCTGCCTCGGGCCGGGCAGCGTTCCCAGGGCTGGGTGACCCCCGGCAGGGGAGGGGACAGCGCGGGGGACACGGCGCTGTGGGAGCCCGAGCTGGGGCAGGATTAAATACCTGCCACCCGCTCTGGCACCCCCGCACATTCCAGCCGCAGGGATCCAGATGCGCCGCGGGAGCGCGGTCTGTGCTCTCTGCCGCGGGGGACCCCAGAGGTGGGGGGCGTGCAGGGGGTCCCCAACACCTCCCTGACTCCGAGGGGAGTCGCGGGGGTTGTCCCGCTGCCCCCGGAGCATCCCAGCAGCCCGGAATCCCAGGAGCGCTCCCGGTTTGGACTCCCCGCCCACTCCCCGGCCGGGACAGCCCTTCCCAGGGTCCCTGCCAAAGAAAACCAGCGTGTGTTGACTCAGGTGGCGGCGCTGGGCCGGTGACGCCGGGCCCCGCTCGCGGTGTCACCCCCCTGTCCCCGCGGAGCCGCTGTTTGCTTTATTTGCCCTTTTCCTTCGGCCTCTCACTCCAGGAAGGGGCGGGGGGGGCTGTGGGGGCCGCGGGGGGATCAGCCCCATCCCACAGCGCTGCCTCCTCTTCCTCCTGCTCCCTCCACTTTCACAGGAGGGTTTTGCTAAAGGAATGTTGCTCCGCTTTCTCGCTGAGGGTCTGGATTTGGGCCGGGGGAGGGTCCCTGGCACAGCCCCCAGCCACGACAGGACGGCTGATTTATTCCCACTCTTCCCATCACTGTTTTCCCCTTTTCCCGACAGCCCCCACCTCGAATTCCCGGTTATCTCTCCCGTGCCCAGCCCACATTCCTGCTGGGCACGGACTGAGCTCCTCCCGCAGCTCCCCTTGGACTGGGCTCCACCCACGCTGGGAATGAGGGCTGGACACGGGGGGTGCTCAGAGACACGGGGGGAAACCCCTGGAGCAAGGAGGGAGCTCTGACCCTGGGAGAGTGCTGGTCCCACTCAGGGGGCTCCTTCCCAGGAGGATTCTCATTCCCAGGAGGATGCTCATTCCCAGGAGGATGCTCATTCCCAGGAGGATTCTCATTCCCAGGTGGATGCTCATTCCCAGAAGGATTCTCATTCCCAGGTGGATGCTCATTCCCAGAAGGATGCTCCTTCCCAGGAGGATGCACATTCCCAGGAGGATGCACATTCCCAGGAGGAGGCTGATCCCCAGGCTGTGGAATGGCCACTCCTCCCTCCCCAGGAACATCCCCTGGATTTGGTTGTCCCTTTGCTCACTTTCCCCAATTTCCCTGATTTTTTCATCCGTTTTGGCTTCCCTGGCACGTTCCCCTTTGCAGCTGCTCCCCACCCTGGGGATGTGCCCAGGGCATGGAAAGAGGAACTGGATGGGGCTGTGCCCTGGGCACTGTCACTGCCCACACACAGCCTGGGGACAGGGCACGGTGTGGGGACAGGGCACACAGCCTGGGGACAGGGCACACAGCCTGGGGATAGGGCACAGCCCCCACTGGTGGGTCTGGGAGCAGTTTTGGGGGGGAGGTGGGGCACAGCTGTTGGGGCAGGGGGCTGTGGGAGCTGCCCTGCTGACTCAGCACCAGCCTGGCACGGCCTGGGGGAGCCGAGGTCCCCGAGGGCACTTTCCCACGTTCCCGGGGCACAAGGCCGAGCGTTGACCCCGAGCTGTCCCCACGTGCCAGCTGCACCCAGCGCTCCCAGTGCCACCACCCTGCTCTCTTTGCTGTGCGAGAGGCTGGATCGGGATCCTGCATCCTGCTGGATGCAGCCTCTGGCACAGCCTTGGTGCCCAGCTGGGAATTCCTTCTGGAGGGCTGGCAGAGTCCTCTCCCCACTTTAGGGACACCTTCCACCAGCTCAGGTTGCTCCAGCCTGGCCTTGGACACTTCCAGGGATCCAGGGGCAGCCACAGCTTCTCTGCTCAACCTGGGCCAGGGCCTCCCCACCCTCCCAGCCAGCAATTCCTTCCCAATATCCCATCTATCCCTGCCCTCTGGCACTGGGAAGCCATTCCCTGTGTGCTGTCCCTCCAGGCCTTGTCCCCAGTCCCTCTCCAGCTCTCCTGGAGCCCCTTTAGGCCCTGCCAGGGGCTCTCAGGTCTCCCTGGAGCCTTCTCTTCTCCAGGGGAACCCCCCCAGCTCTCTCCAGAGCAGAGGGGCTCCAGCCCAGGAGCACTTTGGGAAGGTGTTTGGCATTCCCAGGACAGCCGGGATCCCCCACCTGTAACAGTGACCTGGGAAGACAAACATCACTCCCAACGTCCCCCTTTCCTCCTCCTCTCCCAGCTCTCTGCTGGGTATAAAACCAGAGCTCAGGGTGTCCCTGGGGTGGGCTGGGCTCGGTTGTGTCCCCCAGTTCCCGGGGCAGCCTCTCCGTGGCCAGGCAGGAACACACAGACCTTGGCTGGGAGCAGACGCTGCTCAGTGACGCCAAAACCACCCCTGGATTATCAGCCCCGACCCAGCACAAATCCCAAACAGCCCCACAGCAGCTGCTGGGAACAAACTGAGCTCTGCCCCAGGCAAAGCAGAGCAGGGGCCCAGCAGGACCCCGAACCCAGAGACTTCACCCCTGGGGTGCTGCAGAACCTCCCGGGGAGCCACCCCAAGAGCCCCCACGAGCAGGGAAAGGCAGGAGGGAGCTGCCCGTGTCACCACTTCCCAAAAGCAGGGTGAGGGACACGGCCCTGAACAGGGAAGTGATGTGGTTTGGGGCTACTCATCCCCCCCCCCAGCAGACAAAGAGCCATCCCTGAGGGCAGGGACAGGAGCAGGGACAGCACCATCCCAGTGCCACCCCCTGGGAGCTGGCACTGCCGGAGGCACAGGCACCCCCAGGTAACAGCTCTGCTCCCAGGGAAGGGCCAGGGTGGGAATGCGGGCACAGGGAGTGGGGGTCGCCCCGTGGGGTGGGATGAGGCCCCCGGGTGATGCTGTGGGGGGTGGCATTGGGATGGCAGGGGGACAGGGGGGGCACCGGCTGCTCACAGACCCTCACGGGAGGTGGAAGGGGCAGAGCTGGAACATCTCTGGGAGCTCAGCCCCCTCTGTCTCCTTCCAGGCTCAGGGGAGTTGCTCAGACACCCCCAGGGGTCAGATCCAGCATTGGGGGAGGGTGTTAAATCCTGCCCTTATCCCGGGGGGATGGGATCCCACCACCCTGTGGTGCCCAGTTCTCTCTGTGCTGGGATGTGGGGGAGGCTGGAGGGTCCCACACCACGAGTGTCCCCTCCTCCTGCTCATTTCTGGGCCAACAGGTGATTTTTAGGCTGCCAGAGGGCCGGGTTAGGAGGGATTTTGGGAAGGAATTGCTGGCTGGGAGGGTGGGGAGGAGCTGGCACAGGTTGGGCAGAGAAGCTGTGGCTGCCCCTGGATCCCTGGAAGTGTCCAAGGCCAGGTCGGAGCAACCTGGGTTGGTGGAAGGTGTCCCTGCCCGTGGCAGGGAGTGAGACTGGGTGGGATTTAAGGTCCCTTCCCACCCAACCCATCCCTTAAATCCCGTTTAAGGACCCCAGGACCACCTTCCCCAAGCCCCGGTTGCCTTGAGCCCTGCCCAGCCCCTTCCAGCCCAACCCAAAACGAGTTTGTCCCTAAACCTTTACAACAGCTGGAATTCCACGGCTGAGGAGCAGCAGGACCCACCGTGGGGCTCTGTCCTGCCCCCAGCCCGGCTCGGGTGCCCTGGGGGGATGTGGGGTCCTCTCCCTGCCCCGAGGGTCCTCCAGAAACCGAAACCGGGAGAAAGGCGGGAGAAGAAACGAAACTTGGCGCGGGCACAGCCGGGGCTGGATCCCGGCCCTTCCTTCCTCCCGCCGCTCCATCCCGCTCCGGGGCTGAGCCCGCGCTGCCCCCGGCACCCCGGGGGCCTTCCCACCGCTCTCGCCCCTCAGCTTGGCCAGGAACAGCCCAGGCAAAGCTCTCCCGAGCGCTCCGGAGCGGGAGATCCCTCCCGAAGCCGCTGAGCAGAGGGGAAATTCAAAGCAGATGTGGGAGAACAAGGTGTTGGCAAAGGAGGGGGAAAGGGGGGCAGGGAACTGCCTCGGTCCTCCCGGACACATCCAGGAGGGCCTGGATAAAGACGGGAACTCACATCGATCAGTTCATTCATTTCCATGACAATGCAAAAAAAAAAAAATCAGGGCAAAAATATTCAGGTTTATCACAGAATAGTGATTTTTGAATTTAAAAGGAATGGCAGCAATTTGCTCGGTGTGGAGCTGCAAAAAGCCATTGAACCCAGTGAACTTTTTAAAACTTCTAAAAACTTCTTAAAACTTTATCAACTTTTTAAAACTTTTAAAAACTTTTTAAACTTTTCTTTTCCTTCTTTTTTTCTTCTCAAACCTTCCCTTCCCAAACCTTCCCTTCCCTCTTATTTTGTTTTCCTTTGTTCCACTCTTTCACTTTGCATTTCTTTGCTTCTCTTTGAGTCACTTTGTTTCGATTCCTGTTCCTTTGCTTTTATCCCCGTAATTTCGCTTCATTTCCTCCCTCCTCCAAAGCACCCCCCGACCCCCCCAGCCCACATTCGCTGAGTCAGCATTATCCTTCCTCCTCTCCCAGGGAAACGCAGGAATAACTTCCCTAAACCTCCTCTCCCCTCACTGCAAAACCCAGAGCAGCTCCTTGAAACCCTCTGAGTGCTCAGGGGGCTCGGAGGGCTCGGGGGGACTCAGTGGGGTCGGGGGTGCTGGGGACCCCTCAACCCGCCCCCCACCCCCGCCGCGGGCTCTGCTGTCTGCAGGTTTTATCCCGCAGGATTTATCCCTCATGGAGCCATCCCACACGTGTTCCCAGGTCCTTGGCCACCTCTTCTCGTCCCCAGGGTCCCCTGTGCCCGACGCCCACCTCAGGGACCGGCCACGTCCCCCCCACCATGTGCCTGCCCCGCTGGCTCGTGCTGCTGGCCAGCCTTGTCCCCCCGGGTACGGGACCCCCGCGGGGGCTGCAGGCGGGACGTGCCCCCCCGGGGTGGGGTCGGGAGCCGTGCACGGTGCCCGGGGGATGGGCGGGATTTTGGGAGCCTCTGCCTGTCACCCCCTCAGCAGAGGTGATGTGGCCCCGGTGGGTCCCAGGAGGGGAGGGGACCCCCCAGCCCGGCTGGTGCCCTGACCCCCATTTCCCTGGCACAGCCCTCAGCTCGTGGGGGGTTTCCTACCCCCAGTCCGTGCATGGCATCGGGGGGTCCTGCGTGGTGGTCCCGTGCACCCTGAGCTACCCCGAGGGCATGAGCACCGCCGAGGGCATCGTGGCCATCTGGTACAAGGACTACGACAGCAGCAAGACCCCGGTGTTCCACTCGGCCGCCCCCCAGGAGGTGGATGCCCGGTTCAGGGGCCGTGCCCAGCTCCTGGGGGACCCCGGAGCCCGGAACTGCACCCTGCTGCTGCGGGGGGTGACCCCGGAGGACGGGGGGCCCTACAGGTTCCGCTTCGAGATCGTGGGCGGTGATCGGTGGTCGGCGGAGCGGGACGTGGTGCTGAGCGTGTCGGGTGGGTGCAGCTCCCAGACCCCTCCCCGTTCCCTTCCCGCCCGCCCCGCGGGCACATCCCACCCTCTGCTCTCCACCCCAGAGGAGCTGCAGCCCCCGAGCGTCGCCGCCCCCCAGGATGTGAGGGAGGGGCAGAGCTGCAGCCTGGAGTGCTCCACGCCCTACGCCTGCCCCTGGGACGACGCCGTCCTGCGCTGGGAGGGCCACGACCCCCGCGTGGCCACCGTGTCCGGGCGGCTCCAGATGGACACCAGCGGGGTGGGACACCACCTGACCCTCAGCACACCCCTCTCCTGGAGGGACCACTCCAAGAAGTTGCTCTGCGAGGTCTCCCACGGCTCCAGGAAGGCGAGCACGGAGGTCGTGCTGCGGGTGAGACGTACGTGGGGCAGCTCGGTGTGGGGACAGGGGGCATCTGTGCCACGACCACGGCACCCAGGCCCCCTTCCCACCACCCACCCCCTTCACTGCGCTCCCTGCAGCAGCCAGAGCAGATTCCTCCTGCTCTTTCCCTCTCTCCTGTTCCCCACGTCCCTCCATGGCCGTGTCATCCCACAGACGTCCCAGCTCAGGGGCACCTCCTGGCACCCCCAGCTGTGCCCTCCCCACTTTGCTGTGTGGCAGCTCTCCCTCCTTTCCAGCTCCCCTTTTCCCTGCACCAGACCCCAAGAAGGGTTGTGGTCCTGCCCACCCTCACCTCCACCCGCCGTGTCCCCCCTGCAGACGCCCCCAAGGACGTCCAGGTGGAGGTCAGTCCCTCCTCGGGGAACATCCACGTGGGTGACACGGTGTCCCTGACCTGCGAGGTGGGCAGCAGCCACCCCCCCGTGTCGGGGTACCGTTGGTACAAGGACGGGGCCGCGGTGGGCACCGAGAGGGTGCTGACCCTGCGGGGGGTGCGGCGGGAGGACCACGGGCGGTACCACTGCGAGGCCCAGAACGCCCTCGGGGCCAGCACAGCGCCCGCCACGACCCTCCACGTGTTCTGTGAGTGCCAGGGCATGGCTGAGGGGGGAGAGGGGCTGAGTGTGCCCTGCCAGGCCGGGCTGGGGCAGGCACGGGCTGGCAGAGGGGTGGCCGGTGCTGCTGGGGGTGCAGGAGCTGGGGAGTCCCTGGGGCAGGAGTGGGATGGCTCCATCGGGCCACCCCTGCACCTTTCACCTTTTGGTCCCAAAGACACCTCCCTGGAGGGATTTCCAGCCCAGCACTGGGAAGGGGGTTGTCAGAGCTTGTGGGGATCCAGAGCCAGGGTGGTCTGGTTCGGGTAAAAAGAGATCTTAAAGATCACCCAATGCCACCCCCTGCAATGGGCAGGGACACCTTCCTCCAGCTCAGGCTGCTCCAAACCCCGTCCACCCTGGCCTTGGACACATCCAGGGGCAGCCACAGCTTCTCTGGGCAACCTGTGCCAGGGCCTACCCACCCTCCTAGGGAGGGGAAGAGGGTCCTCCACCAAATCCTACAGCAAAGACAAGCCCCAGCCCTACCTGTCCCTGTTGGAGTCCCACTGGGACCATCTCCCCCTGAATGGGAGCAGGGGGGTCAGTCTGCTCCCCCAAGCCCCCCGTGCACACCCGGAGGGCTGAAGGACCCCACTGCCCCCACCAGGAGTTTTGTCCCCGGGGCTTTGCACTAAAGCCAGGAGGTGCCCCCCCTGCCCAGCTGGGAAGGTGCTGGTGACAGGGGACAAACCCAAGCACCTCCCACTTCTGCTGTCATCCCCTAGGGGGGCTCTGGGATGTGGGGATTGGGGGTGGGAGTGCTGTTCTCCTGCCTCCAAGACCGTGCTGACCGCGCTCCCACCTCCCTCAGCCGCAGAGATCTCGGCGAGCCCCGCGGCCGAGGTGCTGGAGGGGACGGCCACCACCCTGTCCTGCGACGTGCCCGGCCGGGAGGGGCAGGAGCTGAACTACACGTGGTACAGGAACGGCGCGTGGCTCAAGGAGGGCACGGCCCACACCCTCCTCTTGCCCGCAGTGGCCGCCAGCGACGCCGGCTACTACTCCTGCAAGGTGACAAACAGGCAGGGCAGTGACACGGCCCAGCCCCTCAGCCTCAGCGTGACGTGTGAGTGCCCCCTGCCCCTGCCAGTGCCGCCCGTCCCAGGGGCTCAGCAACCCCCCAAAGTCACGGCAAAGCCTCTTCCCGAGTGCCCCGGGTGCAGCTGGGAGGGGGGTTCAGCTCTCCCGTCTGAGTTTGCTGTAAATCCAGCAATTCCTGGCCACGACCCACGCGGGAAGGGGCCGTTAAGAGCCACTCGTGGGGCAGGACCTGCCCTCCCTGAGCAGCATCTCTCGCTAATCTGCTCCAGCCGTAAGCTCTGGGGAGGTACTGACGGAGGAGGGGGGGGAGGGATAAGAACAGCTCAGGAGGTTTTGCAAGTCAGGGGGAAAATAAAACAGCCCCGGGCTTGGCTTTGCCAGGTCTGGGGTAAAAATAACCCGGTGACGCACGGGGGGAGCAGCTAGGGGTGGTGAGGGGACGTGTCCCACCCCTGGAGGTGTCCAAGGCCAGGGTGGACGGGGTTTGGAGCAGCCTGGGCTGGGGGAAGGTGTCCCTGCCCACGGCAGGGGGAGGCACTGGCTGGGGTTTAAGGTCTCTCCCAACCCAAAGCAGTCTGTGATTCCACGTGTGGCCACCCCACGGGGACACCCCGAGCTCAGCACCCTCTCCCGTCCCGCAGATCCCCCCCGGACCCCCACCCTGACGCTCTTCCAGGAGACCCAGGGGGGCCGGCTGGCCGTTGTCCGCTGTGCCGTGGACAGTCACCCTCCGGCCACCCTGGCCATCGACCGCGACGGCACCGTACTGGCCACCAGCGAGGTTCAGGTGGCCCCGCCCCAGAGGTTCGGTGTCGCCGCCTCCCGCAACGCCCTGCGCCTGGAAATCAGGGATGCGGGGCCCCGGGACAGCGGGAAGTACCGCTGCACCGCCAGCAACGCCCACGGCAGCGCCAGCGCCACCAAGGTCCTGGTCACCCGCGGTGAGTGCCGGCCCTGCCAAATTCTGGGTGGTGATGAACGCCGGGGCTGTTCCTCGGGGCTGCGGGACCCCCGTGGCACGGGGGGTGCCTTGGGGTCCGTGTGGTGGCAGTGCCCTCCCCGCAGTCCTGCCCCTCCTCGGAGGGTTGGAGCAGCTCGTGGAGCTGGAGATGCTCCCGGGGTTTATTTTCCAAAGTACCACAAAATCAGGAGCAACTTTGTCCAAACTTTTCTGCTCTGTCCCTCCTCCCCTCCCACCCTGCCCCCGCAGGTGCTGGGGGGTGTCTGAGCCCACAGGAATCCCTGCTCTGTCCCCTGAACCCTCAGTCTGGATGTTTTGGTGTGACAGAGGCAGCAGAGGGAGAGAAAAGCCCCCCAAAACCATGTCCAAGAGGAACATCCCTCAGGATGCCCAAAATAGTCCTCAAGGTCCAATCCCAGAGAAACCAAACCTGGGTTTGGGTGTCCCAGAGGGGAGTTGGGCTCCATTAGAAGTAGCCAAGATGCCACCAGCCCAACCTGTCACCTGTCAGAGGGCTGAGGGCACCAGGTCTGTCCCAGGAGCAGCTCGGGATGAACCGGGATGTCCTGGATGAACCTGGCACTTGGAGAGAGTTGGGAAGGGTTGGGAAAGGCCCCGTTTGCCTGGTAGAGAGCTGGGGTGGAGATGTCCAGTGTCCCCAGGGAATGCCACTCAGTGAAGATCCACAGATCCCACGGGCTCCGGAGCAAGAGGGGGCTCAGGGAAGCTGAGGGGGGTGGGTTTTAGCCGGATGGAGCCGTGGGAAAGATGAAGGTCTGTATCAGGGATTTCCCTCCCTCCCTCTCTCCCATCCCTCTCCCTCCCCTCCTCCAGCCGCAGAGCTCCTGATCCAGCCCTCGGCGGAGGTGCCGGAGGGGACCGCGGTCACCCTGACCTGCGTGGGGCCGGGGGACACGGCGGGGGAGCCCCTCTACACGTGGTACAGGAACGGGAAGAGGCTGCGGGAGGGCCCGGCCCCGACCCTGCGCTTCCCCTCCGTCCGCGGGGACGACGCCGGCGCCTTCCAGTGCCGGGTCCGGGGCACCAACAGCAGCGACGCGTCGGGGGCCGTCCCGCTCCGGGTGCTCTGTGAGTGCTGCCGGGGGCTCCCGGCGCTGCCAGCGGGGCCTGGGGCTGGGCTGGGGGGTCCTCCGCTGCTCCCACCCCTGGGGTTCCCCCCTCACCGCCGAACGCAGCCAAGGAGCTCTAGGGCAGGAGTGTGGAGGGGGTGGAAAATTCCCTCTGGTGGGTAAATCCGTGAATCGGGGGGAGGAGAAGTTTGGGGACATCCCAAATTCCCGAGACTCAAAGAGTTTTAATATCAATTAATGTTTTAAGAACAGTAAATAATCAGAGAACCATGAATGGTTTGGGTGGGAAGGGATCTTAAATCCCACCCAGTTCCACCCCGTGCCGTGGGCAGGGACACCTTCCCTCTGCTATCCCAAGCCCCGTCCAACCTGGATGCCCAAGAGCTGCTCACGTGGCACTGGAAAGCAGCAAGCCCTTGGGTTCTGCGGGTTCTCCTGACCCCCGAGCACCCAGAATATTCTCCCCAGTGGTGTTTCCCCCCCCCCCCGCAGACCGCCCGAGGCCGCCGGTGCTGAGCTCCTTCCTGCAGACGCGGGGTGGGCGCCTGGGGATCATCCAGTGCTCCGTGGAGAGCGACCCCGAGGCCAACCTGACCCTGCGCAGGGGGGACACGCTGCTCGCCTGCACGGGGGGCTGCCCCCCCGCCCCCAGGGTCAGAGTGACCCCCTCCTACAACAGCCTGAGGGTGGAGATCCAGGACGTGGTGCTGGAGGACGAGGGCACCTACGTGTGCCAGGCTGGGAACGCGCAGGGAAATGCCAGCGCCGCCCTGGAGTTCAGGGCTGACAGTGAGTGGGGACGAGGGACCGGGACAGGAGGGAGGGTGATGGAGCCCACGGCATCTGGGAACACCCTGGGAGAGGGGAGCCTGCCAAGGGAATGCCAAGGAAGGGGATGAGACCAGGGGAGGGTGGCGGAAGGATGGGAGCAGCAGAAATAAGGCACGTGCCCGTGGAATTCAGGTGTCCAACAGCTTCTGCCTCTGGAAAACTGTCATCAGTGGGACCTTTGGGGCAGGGGTGGAGCATGAGTAGGTTTAAAGTGGGGCCCACCAACCTCTCCTGGTGGGTTTGGAGGCTCCCCGTGGCCACAGCAATGGTTCCAGCTCCTGCTGGGGATTCCCTGCCTGAGTGTGACAGGGACACTGAGCAAAACGTGGCTGAGGGAGTTCCCACAGGCCCCCCCCTGCAAGTACCTCATCCTTGGGCTGGTGGCACCCCACTGCCGGGCTCAGAGCTGTCCCTGTCACAGCACTGCAGGATCAGCTGGAATTTGCCTTCTGGAGTAGCCACAATGTCCCTTGGTGACCTAACCCCACATGGTGACATCACCCTGGGCTGGCTGGCTCTGAGGGCGTTGTTCACCCCAACACTGATGCCGGATGCCGTTTCCCCCCCCAGCTGCCACCGTCACCGTGTCCCCATCGCCCCGCGTGCTGGAAGGTGACAGTGCCAACCTCACCTGCCACCTGAGCAGCGACTCCCCGGCCGTGCCCAACGTCACCTGGTACCACAACGGGCAGTGGGTGGCCGAGGGCCCCACGCTGGTGCTGGGCCACGTGGCCAGCGCGGATTCAGGGCTGTACCAGTGCAGGGCCAGCACCGGGAGCGGCACCAGGAGCTCCCCCGATGTTCTCCTGGATGTGCTGTGTACGTACGGGACCCCCCCCGGCACCCCCAGCCCGCTGCTGGTGGGTATGGGTCACCTGGGCATTGCACGACCTGCAGATTAGGGTGCCCAGGGAAGCCGTGGCTGCCACACGGCTGTGTGCAGTGACTGTGCGTCCCATAGAGCAGGAGTGTCCTCACTGTGGTGTGGTGTGGGATCCCTTTCCCTTATTTCCCTTTCCCTTATTTCCCTTTCCCCTTCCCCTTTACCTTTTAAGGTTTCCCTTTCCCCTTTCCCTTTTCTTTCTTTTCTTCTTTTGCCTTTCCTTTCTCCCTTTTCCTTTTCCCCTTTTTTTCCCTTTTTTCCCACCTTTTTCCCCTTTTTTACCTTTTTTTCCCCTTTTTTTCCCCCTTTTTTTCCCCTTTTTTTCCCCCTTTTTTTCCCCTTTTTATCCCTTCCCTCCCCTTCCCTCCCCGGGGCAGTGGCTGCCGGCGGGGCTCTCCGTCCCGGGGGGATCGTGGCTCAGGCCGTTCCCCCCCGCAGACCCCCCTCGGGAGCCGCTCCTGCGGGCGTTCCTGGAGGTGGAGCGGGGCCGCCTGGCCGTGCTGGAGTGCTCGGTGAGCAGCAACCCCCCCGCCCGGCTGGCGCTGCTGCGGGGCCCGGAGCTGGTGGCCACCGGCGAGGGCGGGAGCAGCCCCCGGGTGCGTGTCAAGGCCGCCCCCAACTCCCTGCGCGTGGAGATCCGCGAGGTGACACCGGCGGACGACGGGAGCTACCGGTGCTCGGCCACCAACGGGCTCGGCACTGCCGAGACGCGGCTGTACCTGCGCGTCCAGGGTGAGCTCCGGGAGCGGGGGCGCTTCCCACGGGAACGGCCACATGGGAATTGTCTGTGCTCACACCCAGGGCCACCAAGCCTCACCCAGCAGCACCAGATCCCACCCAGTGCCATCAGATACCACCCAGGGCCACCAAGTCCCACCCAGCAGCACTAGATCCCACCCAGGGCCACCAGATCCCACTCACTGCCACCAGATACCACCCAGTGCCATCAGATCCCATCCAGTGCCACCAAATCCCATTCACTGCCATCAGATTCCACCCAGAGCCACTAGATCCCACTCAGGGCCACTAGATCCCACTCACAGCTATTAGATCCTAACCAGAGCCACCAGATCCTAACCAGAGCCATCAGATCCCACCCAGGCTCCAGCTGCTGCTCCGGAGGTCCGGGTCAGCCCCTTCCCTTATTCCAGCACCTCAGCCACAGTGACTGGGGGACACTGAAAGGGGGACAGGGAGCCCCAGTGCCACCCCAGGGCTGTGCCAGCTGCCGGGACAGAGCAGGAGCATCCCACACCACAGGGGGTTGTGGAGTGATGAGGGGACAGCTGGAGGTGATGAGGGGACAGCGGCAGTGCCAGCTCTGCCCCGGTCCCTCTGAGCTGGCCCCGTGTGTGTCCCTGCCCCAGCTGCCCGAGTCCTGGTGTCACCGTCCTCGGAGGTGCTGGAAGGAGACAACGTGTCCCTGACGTGCCAGGTGCCCGGAGAGCCCCCGGGTGACACTGTCTACTCCTGGTACAAGGACAGCGAGCGGCTGCAGGAGAGCCCGGGCAGTGTCCTGGAGCTGCCCCGTGTCACCAGCGCTGCCACCGGCTCCTACCACTGCCGGGCCCGCGGCCCCGCGGGGACCAGCGCGTCCCCCGCTGTCACCCTGCGCGTGTCCTGTGAGTGGGACACGCCGGGGAGCCGGGAGGGGAACGGGGAGAGGGGGAATGGGGACAGTGGGGTGGTGCCGGGGGTAGAGTGGTGCTGATGAGATGGTGCTGGGATGGGATGGTCCGAGTGGGATGGTTTGGTGCCAGTGGGATGGTGCTGGGATGGGATGGTCCCAGTGGGATGGTGTTGATGGGATAGTGCCAATGGGATGGTTCCAGAGTGGGATGGTGCTGGGATGGGATAGTGCCAGAGTGGGATGGCACTGGGATGGATGCTGGCCCCAAGCTGGGGCCTGGGGCTCTCTGGGTGCAGCCCCAGGGTCTGCTCACCCTCCGTGTCCCCCCGGCCCGGGCAGACCCTCCACGGGCACTGGTGCTGAGCACCTTCCTGGAGCCCCCGCCGGGGCAGGCTGGGGTCCTGCAGTGCTCCGTGGACAGTGTCCCCCAGGCACAGCTGGCCCTCTTCAAGGACGGGGCTCTGGTGGCCTCCACGGCGCTGCCACAGCCGGACCCCGGGCCACGGCTCAGTGTCACCCGGGCCACCAACGCCCTGCGGGTGCAGTTCCACCCCGTGCTGCTGCAGGACGAGGGGCGGTACCTCTGCGTGGCCACCAACGCCCACGGCAACGCCAACGCCACCGGCAACTTCACAGCGGGCAGTGAGTCAGGGCTGGCAATGGGGATGGGCTGGGGATGGCACGGGGAGGGGATGGAGAGCTGCAGGCAGCGGGGGGAGCGATGGAATCGGGGGGTTGGTGAAGAGGTGAAGGCAGGCGCTGCTGGAGGATGCTCATAGGGAAGGGAGGGTGGAGAGGAGCTGGAACAGGGAGGACAGGATGGTAACAGAAGAAAACAGGGAAAATCCACCTTTATGGGGACAGAGTGCTGTGCTGGAGGTGTTCCCAGAGAGCTGCATGTGTGCCCTACACCTGACAGAGGAGACACAACTCCTCCTGGGGATGATGCCAAGTATGGCTCTGCCCTGTCCATCCATGACATCATCCTGGCTGTGGTCACACAGCCGGCATCACCCAGGAGTCATGGAATCAGACAGCTTTGGGTTGGGGGGCACCTTAAAGCCCATCTATTCCACCCCCTGCCATGGCCAGGGACACCTCCCAGCCCCAGCCCCGGTTGCTCCAAACCCCGTCCGACCTGCCCTTGGGCGCTTCCAGGGATGGAGCATCCATGCAAGATCTGCAGGAGCACCTTGAGAACGGTGCCAGCAGCGCTCGCTGCAGGGGCTGTTCCCACCTTTTACTGTCCTGTCGCTGCCTGAGCTTTCCTGTCCGCAAAGGGGGGCTCAGCGCCACCTCCCTTCCCTTGCAGCCGTCAGGGTGCGGATCCTGCCGGCCCCGGAGGTGCGGGAAGGCGGCAATGCCACCCTCACCTGCGCGGTGGCGGGCGGGGCCGAGGAGGTGCTGAGCTACTCCTGGTACAGGAACGGGGTGTGGCTGCGCAGCGGCCCCTCCCCAGCCCTCGCCCTGCCCCGGCTCTCTGCCTCCGACACCGGCTCCTACCACTGCTCCATCCGGACCCCCGCCCGCAACCGCAGCGCCGCCCCCGCCCCGCTCAGCGTCCTCTGTGAGTGCGGGGCTGGGGGGCTCCGTGTGGGGGGGGGCACGTCCAGGGCTGGGAGCTCGGGGTGTCACCTGCCCCTTGGCTGGAGAGATGGGGCACAGCAAGGCCCTGGCTCAGTTTTGAGTTTGAGATTAGTCTTCCAAGAAAATCAGTCTTTGTCCCAGGGGAATAACTAAGCCGAGCTTTACACCCCAGTCCTGCTCATCAGACCCGGCCAGAGACGCCCACATCACCCGCAGAGGATCTCAGTGAAGCTTCTCCAAGTCTCCTTGTGCTTCCTACTAAACTGCAGCAGGAAAATCTTGGGTTTTCAGGAACCAGAACAGGATTTGTTGTTGTTTTGGGTTTTTTTTAGCCCTGATTTGGAAAATGAAAACCAGGTTTTGTTTTTAAAAAAGGACAGGGAAAAATGTGGTTATGAGTGAGAATTTAGGAAAATTTTGTTTCCCCTTTTTATGAGAAGAAGATGGTGTTAACTTATAAATCTGCATGAGGAGGGCCAGGGAGAGCTCCTGGAATGGCCTTCAGAGCCTGAGACCCCAAGGGCTTCCCTCCCTCCTCCTGGTTTGGGATGGGGAATGTTGAGTGGAGCCACCGACCTGATCAGAGCATCCCAGGCTGGGCATGCTCCAAGAGGAAGGGTCTGGAGCAGCAGGAGCAGCTGAGGGAGCTGGGGGGGCTCAGCCTGGAGAAAAGGAGGCTCAGGGGGGACCTTCTGGCTCTGCAACTCCCTGACAGGAGGGGGGACCTTGGGGAGGGTCGGGCTCTGCTCCCAGGGAACAGGGACAGGAGAGGGAACAGCCTCCAGCTGTGCCAGGGGAGGGTCAGGTTGGATATGGGGAAATCGCTCCTGGAATTCCTCCTGTCCAGCCCCGGCACAGCTGCTCAGGGCAGGGGGAGTCCCCATCCCCGGGGGAATTTAACAGCCCTGTGGATGTGGCACCTGGGGACAGGTCAGGGGTGGCCTTGGCAGTGTTGGGGGATTTTCCAACCCAAACAATTCCATGATTATCCTATGGTCCATCTCTTCTTCCCTCTGTTTCCACCCCACAGACCCCCCCAGGAACCTGCAGGTGAAATCCTTCGTGGAGAGCAGCGAGGGCACAGCCATCATCCTGCTCTGCTCCGTGGACAGCAATCCCCTGGCGCAGCTCACCCTGCTCAGGGGGGGGCAGCCGGTGGCTTCCAGCCCCCCCCGGGGAGGGGACGCCCCCCGGCAGAGCGGCCAAGTGTCCCCCTCTCCCAACACGCTGAGGCTGGAGCTCCGGGAAGCGTCTGAGGAGGACGAGGGCGAGTACGAGTGCCAGGCACGGAGCCCCCTCGGCAGTGCCCACGTGTCCCTGACCCTGCGGGTGCAGGGTGAGTCTCGAGGGGAGAGAAAGGGACTGGGACCCCTCCGGTGGGTTAGGTGGGCGTCAAGGGGAGAGGGAAAGGGGATGGGAACCCCCCAGATGGTTGGGTGGGCGTCCAGGGGTGCAGCCATCGTGGGGACCCAATATCGGGGAGGTCAAGAGTGGTGCAGGGCTGGTGGAAGGGCAGGGGGGTCCTGCTGTCCGCTTGGGTGGGCACCCACTCAGGGCACCCACCCTGAGGGCCCACCCTGTGCCCCCGCCCCTCTGGACTGGGGGTGGGAGCTTTGGAGTGAAAACGTGCTGATGGTCACTGCCCACTCCTCCCCCCGCAGCCGTCAGGGTGGTCGTGCGACCCTCCACCGAGGTGCCCGAGGGGACGGAGGTGACACTGACGTGCCAGGACCCCCACGCCGCCTCCCGGGACCCTGTACACGTGGTTCAGGAACGGGCAGTGGGTGGCGGAGGGACTCGGTGCCTCCCTCGGGCTCCGCGGCCGCCGCTCCGACGCGGGGCTCTACTCCTGCCAGGCGGGCAGGGGGCACCGGGCCCCCCCCGCCGCCCTCAGGGTGCTCTGTGAGTGACGGGGGCCGCTTTCGGGGGGTGGGGTGGGACACTGTGGGTCCTGCCAGCGCACGGGACCCCCGCAGGGGTGTCGCTGGCCGGTCTATGTCGCCACCTGGTGACATCCCGCGACACGCCGCGACAGCCCAGCCCCTCCCTCGGGGAGCGGGGGAGCCTCGGTGCTGCCGGGCATCGCGCCCCCTCCCCCGTCACTTGTCACCCCCCGGCCCCCGCTGGCTGGTCCCGTGCCACCGGCGGCGTGAGGGGGACACACGCGCTGTCCTTGTCGCTGCAGATGCCCCCCAGGAGCCCACCTTCACCTCCCTGGTGGACCCGCGGGGGGGGCGACAGGCCGTCCTGCTCTGCTCCGTCGACAGCTTCCCCCCCTCGGACATCGCCGTGAGCCGGGGGCCCGGGCAGCCCCCCCTGGCCTCCACCCGCGGCCCCTCCGACCCCCGCTTCGATGTGCAGGCCACCCCCAACTCGCTGCGGGTGGCGCTGGGGGCGCTGGCGCTGCGGGACACGGGGCTCTACGTGTGCTCTGCCAACAACAGCCACGGCTCCGCAGCCGCGGCCCTGCGGCTCCCCGGGGCAGGTGAGGGGGCCTCGAGCCCCGGGGGTGGGTCCCGGGCGTGCCCCGGTGCGAACGGGGCTCTCGGAACCCTCAGGGGGGATTCGGGGATGGTGTCCTGGGCATTCCTTGACTCCCCAGCCTCCCTCCTGCCCCGCAGGGGTCACGGTCACGGTGGAGCCGTCACCAGAAGTGCCCGAGGGCGGCAGAGCCACCATGACCTGCTCGGTGCCCCCTTGGTGGGGCGAAGGTGCCAACTACACGTGGCACAGGGACGGGCTGTGGCTGCGGGAGGGACCGTCCCCCTCCCTCGTCCTGCCCCGCGTCTCCAGCGCCGACTCCGGCTCCTACGGCTGCCGGGCCAGCGGGGCCTGGGGCACGGCCAGCTCGACCCTCCTCGGCCTCAGCGTCCTCTGTGAGTGTCCCCAGCCCGGTGTCACGCGTGTCCCCTGAACGTGGGCGAGGGACCGTCCTCCTCTTCCTCCTCCTCTTCCTGCCCTGCTCCTCTCCCTTTGAACCCGGGGAAGGGGAAGGTTTTTTCTAGGATTGGCCCATCTGAAGTCAGATTTGGAGCCGAGATTGGGGGATTCTCCAGTTAGGGGGGAGTGAGGGGCTGGAGAACATGGAAAGCCACCAGCCCTGGGATGAGTGGGATGGGGATGATCCAGGCTGGAGGAGGGATGAGTTAGGCAGCCCTTGGTGACCCAGGGAACAGGACATGGGGTTTTTCCTAGGACTGATCCCTCGAAAGACAAATTTGGAGCCGAAGAGCTCCGAGTCAAGGGAATTCTCCAGCCGAGAGGGGGAGCAAGGGGCTGGACAGGGTGTGAATCTGCCTGGATGATGCAGGCTGGAGGAGGGATGTGTTTAGCAGCCTTTGGTGACTGTCCAGGCCTGCGTGGGGGTTCCCACACCATGACCCACTGACACTCCACCTCTGCCCCCCCAGATCCTCCCCGGGACGTGTCTGTCAGCACCTTCCTGGAGAACCGCAGCGGGCGGGCGGGCATCGTGCTGTGCAGGGCCGACAGCCACCCGCCCTCCTCCCTGGCCCTGCTCCACCAGGGCCGGCTCCTGGCCTCCAGCCCGGCCCCCCCCGCCATCCCGGGGGTCCGTGTGGCCCCCTCCCACAACGCCCTGCGGGTGGAGCTGGGGCCGCTGGGCCCGGGGGCCGCCGGGCTCTACCTCTGCGTGGCCACCAACGCCCTGGGCAACGCCACGGCCAGCGCCCACTTCGACGTGAACAGTGAGTAGGAGGGACCCCTGGGGCTGGGGGGGACTGGGCTCTGTGTAAGGGCCGAAAACAGCGCTCGTGGAAGCAGCAGACAGAGCTGGGTGCTGAGGATGGTCCAACAGGAGGGAGGAGGAGTCGGCTCCGGGTCAGCCAACAGCGGCACGTGGGGATGCTGCTTGTGACTGTGCTGGGGACACGCCCTGTGCCCAGGGGACACTGCCCCTCCTGGGGGGGCACCCAGCATTGTGCCAGCCTGCCCGACCATCAGGGCAGGGGACAGTGAGGTGTGCAGGGACAGCCAGGAGCAGCGAGGTCCCAGTGGGGTCCCAGTGGGGTGCCAGCATGGAGCCTGTCACCCCCCCAACATGTCCTCACCCCAAAGACTGGCTGTCCCCACCCCTGGCGACCTGGCAGTGGCACCAAACCTCCACCTGCATTTGGCTGTCCCAGACACCACCCCAGGGTCCCCTTCACCCCTCGGGGGTACCCCAAGTCTGAGGGGGTCCCGTGTGCACTGACCCCCTGCTGTGGGGATGTGCCCACAGCCCTCACCCACCTGCTGACCTTCACCGTCCTGGCCGGGCTGCTCCTGACCCTCGTCTGTGTGGCCGCCCTGGGCCTCCTGGCTGTGAAGATGTGGCCCAGGTAACACCCTGGCTGGGGCAGAGGGAGGGACAGGGAACCAAGGGTGGGGGGACAGGGAACCAAGGGGGACACAGGAACCCTGGCATCAGGACAGGGCCCCCAGTGTCAGAGCAGGTACCCCAGGGTGGGAGGACAGGAACCCCAGAGTGGCAGAGGGACGCTGGGATCAGGGGACAGGGACCCTGGGGTGGGAGAACAGGGATCTCAGGGTGGCACAGGGACCCTGGGATCAGCACAGAGACCCCAGTGTCAGGGCAGGTACCCCGGGGTGAGGGGACAGGTATCCCGGGGTGAGGGGACAGGCACCCTCGGGGGCAGCAGGGCTGGCAGCTCCCTGTCCTCCCTTCCAGGATCAGGAGGTTTCGGGGCTGGTCGGGTGCCGAGGACACCTTGGAGCTGAGGAGCAAACAGGAGCAAGCACAGGTAAGGAGGGACCTTGGAGGGGCCAGCTCTGAGGGCCCCCCACCCTGAGCTCCTGGGGGGCCCCTGGGGGGTCCCCAGTGCACGGAAGGGGATGTGGGTCTGGGATCTGACCCAGCCAGGCTGCTCCAGGTGCCACCACAGCCTTGGCTGTCGCTGCCGGAGCCAGGGAAGGGGTGGGAGGGCAGAGCCTTGTGAGGACCTCAAAATACCCCTCCCAGGCTCATCCCACAGGGGCTCCAGCACAGACAGTGCTGACCCCTCTGGGGGTGCTCTGGGTGCTCCCCCAGCCCTGCCATGGACGGGGGGTCCCAGCCAGTCTCAACCTTTCCCAGGTGGATGGAGCATGTTAACCTGGTGGCTCTTGGACTCAGGACCATCTGTGGCAGCTGGTGCTGGAAGTTCACGGTCCTGGCCTGGCTGGATCCAGGCAGCCCCCATCCCTGGGAACACCCAACCCCATTCCAGCCCCTGCCATCCCCACAGTGTCCCTCATCCCTCCCTGGTGGATGTTGTTCTCACGCCGGGCACGGTTTGGGCTCACCACGTCACGTGCCAGGCTGTGCAAGCTGTGACTGCTCAGAGCTGTGAAATCCTGGAAAAACAATAAAACCAAATCTCCCAGTGCTGGTACAAACCTGGGGACATCCTTTCCACGGTCACTGTCTGTCCCCACAGCAAAGCCACCAGCCGGGGTGCTGCCCATCCAGGGCAGGAGGGACACGGGGGCCGTGCTGCTCGGAGACAGCCCGGGCTCACGGCACCCCTTTCCCTGCCATCCCTCCTGGGGGCCTTCGGAGAGGAGGGCAGAGGTGTCCCCAGGCCACACGTGTCCCCTCGGTGCCCCGGCAGGGGTGGGGGCCAGGAGGAGCCGGTCCTGTCAGCCCTGCACTGCCCCAGGGGAGCCGGGGTGGGGGCTCCTCTTGCCGGATCGTAGCCCCCCGGGGAAGGGTCTGGGCCGTGTCGCCTCCCGACCCGCGGCCATTAGAGGTCACTCTGCGGCCACCTCACCACCGGACCCGGCCTCGGACGCGGGTCTGCGGCCGGACGGGGTTCCGAGCGTGGAACTGGAGCTTCCCGAGCACGGCTGGGGGGGCTCAGGGCTGAGGGGGGAGCGGCTGAGGGGCTTGATGCTCACGTGGATGCTTAATCCCCTCTTATCCACCTGCTCTGGCGCTCCTGTTTCTGTACCAAAGCAGGATGCTGCTGTTCCAGGGGGTTGTCCCCATCCGTGTCACCATCCTTGCCCCCGTTACTGTCGCTGTCCCCATCCCCATCTCCATTCCCGACTCCAGCCCCATCGCGTTCCTCACCCCATCTATCTATCCAAATCCACATCCCCATTTGCATTCCCATTCCTGTCCCCATCCCTGTCCCTCACCCGCAGGCAGGGCGGTGGCAGGGTGGTGACAGAGTGACATGCAGGGTGGCAAGGTGGCAGCAGGATGGTAGCAGGATGGTGGCAGGGTGGTGGCAGGGTGGTGGCAAGGTCGTGGGCAGGGTGACAGGCAGGGTGGCGGCACGGAGGTGGCAGGGTGACATCAGCCCTCCCCTCGTCCCTCCTCGCCGAGATCCCCCCGAGCGTGAGGGGCACGGAGGTCAAACCTCGTCACCTGCTGCTCCCGCTGAGCCCGACTGGAGCCGGCCCGACCTGGCAGCTCCCTCCCTGCGGCTGGAAATCACCTTTCCGAGGTACCTCGGTGGCAGAGCCTTCACCCCCCGTGCCACGACCCCGCGTCCTCCTGCGCCACCTGCGCCCCCCGGAGCCCCAGGCTCGGCGCGGGGCCCCCGCACAACCAACCGCCCCCTCCCGCCCCTCCGAGTTCCAGCCCAGAGCTCCAGCTGCCCCCTGCCCGCCGCGCCGCGGGCTCAGGGCAGATGTTGCGGGCTGGCACACACGCGTGGGCCCCCGTGAGCCGAGCGGGGCCGGGCCGGCCCCCATTCCAGCTCTTCCCAGCAGAGCAACTGGTGCAGCCTGGGCCCGGGGAGCGCAGGGAAGGTGGTGTGGGGATGGGCCCGCCAGTCACAGGGCCTGCATCCACCCTGGAGCAGGAGAAGGATGGAGAGAGGGTGGGATGGGGCAGAGCCGAGGGGTTGTTCCTGCGATCCTAAACCTCTGCCGACGCCCCCGGAGGGGCTGGGAGAGGTGGGGAGCAGCGAGGGGCAGGGATCGGGGTGCCCGGATGCCTTAATCCACCCCGGGGCTGCAGGAACGCCCCTGCGCCGGGCGCGGGCGCGGAGCCAGCGATTACCTCCGGGCCCTCTGAGCTCCTTCTCCTCCTTCCCTTCTGGAGCAACACACATTAAGCCAAATCCTCCCGTCACATGGTCTAAAGGCAGAGCGAGGGAATAAGGGCAGGTCAGGAGGTGAACTGGAGGCCACGGATTTGCCACCGGGCAGAGGACCGGGCAGAAACGTGCTCGGCATTTCCCCGTGGATTGAGGGAGTGCGCGCCGTGATTCGCTGTTCCCGTAATCCCGGGGCCGGCAGCGCGCCCGGCGCTGGCACCGGCGCGGAGCGCGGGGCACGCGTGGGGCCGGGATCGCTGCCCTCGCTCCACGCGGGGCACGGCGGGGCTGGCGGCTCCTGCCAGGGCTGCCACCACCGGCCTGACGGGCTCGAAGGGCTCCCTCGCTCGGGGAACGAGCCCAGCCGCTCCGTGGCAGAGGTGGCGTGGTGTCCCCGTGAGGGTGGGACCCCCTGTGAGTGGGGTGTCCCCGGGCAGGTGTGACCCTGTGACCTCCCGTGAGTGAGCGATGTCCCCATGCAGGTGTGACCTCCCCCGTCCCTTCAGCTCGGTGGTGGGACCTGCTCCGAACTCACTGGGGAGGAATGAGGGGGCTCTGCCGAGACAAGACGAGGCAACACCGTTGTGCCTCCCTTGAGGGGTTCCTGCACTGCCCCGCATTCACCCCTAAACCATTGGCAACCAAAACCCCCACCCCGAGCCAGTGTCCTTCCCAGCCCGCCCCAGGGTGTCCCCAGCAGTGTCCGCTCTCTGTAACCCCCTGTGGAGATTTAGTGCCCCACGTAACACCCGCTAAATCCATCCCGCTTCTCCTCCCGCCGTCACGGGTGATCCGGGGGCGGCCGTGAGCTGGTGACGGCACAGCTCGGTGACTGCGGTGGGACTCCGTGCAGGGACCCCCCTGACACTCCTGCTGGTGCCCGAGGCCGCGGGGATGGCCACAGGCCGGGTCACCTCCTGCCCTGTCCCCTGTCGCAGCCGCTGCCCCACATGCGGCTGCCCCCCGTGGCTGCGCGCCAGTGGGGGTGTCCCACCCACTATCGGGGGAGGGGGGAGTTGGTGGCTCCCCGAGCCCCACAGACCTCCCCTCGCCCACGCCAGACCCCCTGTGCCGTGGGAAGCAGGAGGAAGTCCGGGCTCTGCCCTCCTGTGGCTGTGAGGGTGGGCTGGGTCCTGCCTGGCCCCCAGGACCCCTCTCCCCTCTCCTCTGCCCATCCCCCCAAAACCCACGGGGGTCTGTCCCATGGGGGTGCTGGAGCACCCCCAGCCCCAGCACTGCCTGAACGCTGCGGGGGTCCCACTGCTCCTCCTGAGAGCACAGGAGGTTCAAGGGGGTCCCTCGGGGCCCGCCTTGTCCTCCTCGTGTCCCCTGTCGGGGACCCCCAGCCCCAAAGGGGCGGCACCAGTGACCCAGCAGCGGGGAGCAGGGGGGGCTGCAGCCCCCCAGACCAGGATCTGGGGGGTGCCTGGAGTGTGCTACAGGATTCCTGGAGCTGGGATCCCTGAAGGGAACACCCCAGGAGCCGAGATCACAGAGATGAGGAGGAGCAGGGGATCCCAGAAATCGGGGGGCTGGGGGAAAGGAGCCCAGGAGTAGGATTCCAGACGTAGGGATGCTAAAGGAGGAGATTCCAGGAGAGGTGGTGAAGGAGGAAATTCCAGGAGCAAGATCCCAGGAGTAGGATCTGATGAGCAGAGAAGATCCCGGGAGCAGGATCCTGGAATCAGGATCCCAGGAGCAGGGGTGACAGAGTAGATCCCAGAAGCAGGATTGCAGGACTGGGATCCCAAATGCCAGAGGAGGAGATCCCAGGAAGGGGATCCCAGGGGTGGAGTCCCGGGAGTGGGGATAGTAAAAGAGGAGATCCCAGGAATGAGAAGCGATCCGGGGTGCCCGGACCCGCGCCCCACGCGCCGAGGTGGCCCCGCCGCTGCGGACCCGTTTGGGGTGGGGACCCCCGGGGTGGAGGCACTGTCCGGGTCCCCCCGGTGCGGGCGGGTTCGGCCATGGGTGGGGTGTCGGGGCGGCCGTGCCGGGGGGGTTGCGGTCGCGGGGGCCCCTGATTTCGTTTGATTTCGCTTAATTTCGTTTGATTTCGTTTTACCAGAGCGGGCGCGGCGGGGCCGGGCGGGTCGGAACGGGAGGAGCGCTCCTACCCTGGGGAGAGCCCCGGGGGAGTGGGAGCGGCCACGGCACGGGCTGGGGTGTCCCACACCCGTGGAGGGGTGTCCCCCACCCACCCGATCCTGGATCCCCCCGGGCTCCCCGTGACCGCCCGCTCTGCCAATGAAAACGGCGCTACCGGGGGCCCGTGGGGGGCCCGTCTGGGCTGGGCATCCACGGGGGTGTCCCCGAGGACGGTCCCGGGGCAGACAGCCACGCGGGGCCGTGGCGAAAGGACAGCAGCGCTGCCGAGGGGGTACCCACTGCCCCGCGGGGACCCTGCACCTAGCCCACGTACACCCACCCGCACCCAGGCACGATAACACGGTGTCCATGCACACCCACTCGTGCTTGTGCCCGGCTCGGCCACGCTGATCGCTCTAAAAACAACCTACCCACCCAAAGCAACCACCCACGGGAAGGAAGGGAGCCGTGACCGGTCCCACCGTGCCCACGGGCGGCTGCTCCGTGTCCGTGTGTCCGTGCACACTCACACCGGGGCCGGGCACGGTTCCACCACGCTCGTGGACATTTCCTCTGTGTCCCCCCGTGTATTTTTGCACATTTCCCCGTGTCCTTACACGATCCCCTCGTGTTTTCGCACGGCTCTCCCGTCCCAGTGCCCAGTCCCCCCGTGTCACTGCACGTCCCCCCATGTCCGAGCCCCGTGGTTTTGCACGACTCCCTCGTGTCCATGCACGTTTAACCGTGTCTGTCCACAGTTCCCCGTGTCTTCGGAAGACCGTCCCGTGTCCCCCTCGCAGAGTCCCCCCGTGTTTTTGTACGGCTCCCCTGTGCCCCGACACGTTTCCCCGTGTCCACTCACAGCTCCCCGTGTCCGTGCACAGCCCTCCCGTGTATCCCCACCATTCCCCCTGTCCCCGCACAGTCCCTCCGTGTTTTCCCTCGGCTCCTTCGTCTCCTCGGACAGTCCCCCTGTGTCCATACCCAGCCCCCCGTGTATCCACACACCCCCTGTGTCCCCTCACAGTCCTGCCGTATTTTCACTCGGCTCTCCCGTGTCCCCGCGCTGTCTCTCGTTGTACATACGCAGTCCCCCCGTGTCTCTGCACAATCCCCCGTGTTTCTGCACGGTTCCCCCGTGTCCCTGCAGGTTTACCCGTGTCCGTACCCAGCCCCCCGTGTATCCTCACACTCGCCCCGTGTCCGTCCACAACCCCCCGTGTCCCTGCACAGTCCCCCTGTATCCCCGTACAATCCCCCCTTTTTTTCGCACAGTTCCCCATGTCCCCTCACTGTCCCCCCGTGTTTTCGTACGGCTCCCCCGTGTCTCTTTGTAGCCCCCCCAGTATCCCCGCACAGTCCCCCCGTGTCCCCGCACAGTCCCCCCGTGTCCCCACACAGTCCGCCCCTGTTCCCACACAGTCCCCCCGTGTCCCCGCACAGTCCCCCTGTGTCCCCACGCAGTCCCCCCTTGTCCCCAAACAGTCCGCCCGTGTCCCCGCACAGTCCCCCCGTGTCCCCACACAGTCCGCCCCTGCTCCCACACAGTCCCCCCGTGTCCCCGCACAGTCCCCCGTGTCCCCACACAGTCCGCCCCTGTTCCCACACAGTCCCCCCGTGTCCCCACACAGTCCGCTCCTGTCCCCACAGAGTCCCCCCGTTCCCCCCAAGGCCCCGCACCGTTACCGGGCTCCGCTGCGCTCTCCCGGCCCGGGCCCGGCCGCGACCTCGCTGCTCCGGCCCCGAGACCCTCGGCGGGTCCCCCACCCGGGAGCACCGGGCCGGGCTGGGGGTCTCCCGGGGCAGCCGTTCCTTCGCGGGGAAGGGAAAGAGCAGGAGGAGAAGGAGGGGAGGGTCCCCCCCGGTGCCCCCCAAGCAACCCTTGGTGTCAGCCCAGCGGGCCGGGACTCACCGGGGGCGGCCGGTTCGGGGTCGGGGGAAGCTCCGGCTCCGCTCCCGGCGGACACCGCACCTCCCGCAGCCGGGCCCGGGGCCGAGTCGAGCCCACCGAGCCGAGCCGAGCCGAGCCGGGCGGGCACTCACCGGCCTGGCCTTACCTCCATCTCAGGGGGAACGGGAGCACCGGGGATGCGGGCCCGGGGCGCTCTGGGCGGCGGATCAGGCTGCAAAAGAGGAAAATAAAGGAAATATGTGTTTTTTCTCTCCATCCCGGAGCGGCGGGAAGGCGGGGGTTGGAGCGGGGCGGCGGCTCGGGACGGCCCCGGCTCGGCAGGGCCGGCAGCGGGGCCGGAGCGCTGGGAACGGGGATGCTCCGGGAGAGCGCGGCCGCTCCCACCCCGGGCCGGGCTTCCCTAGGCTGGGTCTGCTCCGCACGGCCCCGGGAGCGAGAAAAAATTGGGATACCGATAATAATAATAGTACCAATAAATAGTACAAATAGCACTAATAGCAATAGCACTAATACCAATCGTACTAATACCAATAGTAATGCTACAAATAATAGTAACACTACTAGTGACATTAATACCTCTAATATTAATACTAATTACAACAACAACAACGGTAACAACGCCACCAAAACAAACCCAACAACAACAATAATGATACAATAAAGTGGACATTTTTAAAATTACTATTATTATTATTATTTATTTGTTTGTTTTTTCTGAGGACCCGGCTTCGCTCTCAGCCTGCAGAGCAGCGCGGATCCCCTCGCCTCCCCTTCCCGGCAGCGGCAGAGACGGTTCTCACCAGGCATTTCCCTTTCCCTGCTTCCACTTCCCCCGAAGCAAATCCCTTCCCGTTGTTGTTAACGCTAATCGCAGGGATAACGGGAAAAAATAGCAGGAAGGGAATGGGATCCGTGTGGAGGCGGCGGGGGCCGAGCTGGAACCGGGGGCCGAGCGGGCGGCAGGGCCGCTTCTCTCCCGGTCGTACCGCGGCCTCAGCCGCCGCTCGGGGCCGGGGCTCGGCAGAGGGAGGATATTTCGTTCCAGCAGCTCCCGGTCGGCGGCTGTTCCCCCTTTCCCGGCGGGACCGGCCCGCAGGTCTCCCCACGCGTGACCACCGGGCATCGCCTCTGCACGGTCCGGGGGGCTTGGGGCCGCAGGGTGGGGTGGGTTGGGATTATTTTTCCTGATTTTCGTTAAAAATCCTTTGCCGGTGTCACGTCCACGGCCGGGCCCGGTGGCGCGGCAGAGCGGAGCCCGGCTGCGCGGCCCCGGCCCGGCCTTGCCACAGCTCCGACAGAGGGAACCGGGAGAAGGGAACGGGGAACCCGGAGCGGGAAACCAGCTACGGCTTCCAGTACCTACCCCGAACCAGCGGCCCCGTCCCACCGCCCCTCTCTCGCCCCTCCGGGCCCCGCAGAACCGGGGGTGCGGGCCAGGGCCACCGGCCCTCGGCGGGACCCGTCCTCCACGGCCTGGCTCCCCGTGCGCTCCCCGTTCGGCCTTTTTCGTTTGCTTTTTTTCCTTTCCTTTCCCCCCCTTTTTATATTATTCCTTTCCTTTTACTTCCTTTATTCCTATGACTTTATTTTTCCCTTTTATTTTATTTTTGCCCCTAATCTGTTCTCCCCCGCTCCGCGCTGCTTCGCTTATTCCAGGGACGGGCACAGGCCGCCACAGCCACGGACACTCGGGTCCCACGCCAGCCCAAGGCCTTGAATTCCCGGGTGCTGGCAGACTCCCGAACTGGGCACTGCCCGTCTCGGTCGGGCTCTTTCCCGGTGCACTGGGCCGGACCCAGACCCCGGCGGGCCCCCCACCCCGGGCGGTGCCCGGTGCCGGGCTGCGGGAGCGACGGGGAGCGGGCGGGTGTCGGGGGATGCAAATTCTCTGGGGCGCTTGGGTTAACAGTTAATTTACTGATTTTTAATCCACCAGCACTGCAAGGGTTTCTATTTCAGGGGATCCGGGGGGTAACGGGTAGGAAGGGGGCCGCCCCCGCCTGTTCCGGGGACACATCGCCGCCGCTTTTCCGCCGGGTTTTGCCCCGTTGCAGAGAGCGGCGGAACGGAGTCCCCCGAGGCGGGAGAGTGCTCGGGAACCCCCACACACTTCCCCGCCGGGGTCCGTCAGCCCCAGCTGGGCACCGGGAGCCGCCTCCCTCGGTCCCGGTGTCGGTGTCGCCACCGCTGTCGGGAGCGGCTGTGCCGCTTAACGGGGATTCCAGGGCTCCCCCGCAGCCCCATCCCGGGGAGGCAGTGGCGTAATTGGGCACCCTCGGACTACCGGGCTGCGGGGCACCGTGGGGAAGAGGGAAGGGAGCCCTCCGAGCCCCCGCCCGGCCCGGGGAGGGGCAGAGCGGAGGGGGATATTTTTTATTCGTTTACACCTCGGCTGGCCCTTCCCTGGCCTGGCGGGGATCCCCGTGGCGGAGCCCCCCGGGAAGGTGGCACCCCCGCCGCGGGAGCTGCCGCCGCCGCCGAGGCCGGGCAGCCGCCGCTCCCGGGGTTCTTTGTTTACCAATCGGTGTCACGGAACGGGAGAGCAGGAAATTGCGTCTGTACCGGGCTGTTAATTTAAAAGCGGTCCTTTTCTCCCCCCGGCCGCTCCCCGGCGCGGCGGGGGCTCTGCCGCCCGCTCCCGGCTCCGGCGGCGGCCGGGGATGCGCAGCCGAGCGCGGCGGCGGGGGAGGGCCGGGCCGGAGGAATAAGGACCCGGCTTCTTCCCCGGTCCCACCCCCGGCCGCTTCCTCCGCAGCTCCCTCCCCTCGGCCTCCCCTTCCCCTCCCGCTCCCCACTCCCCTAAAATCATCCCCCCATCTCCCGGTATTGATTTCCCGCACGCGAATCCCAGCGCAGCGCGGCGAGCACGGGCACTGGCGGCTCCGTCGCCCGCTCCCGCCGCTTCCCGCCGGGACCGGGACCGGGACCCGCACCGGGACCGGCGCCCCATGGAAGGGCAGCGGCTGCGGCCGGAGCGCCTGAAGTTTGCCTGGAGCGAGGTGCCGCGGGAGGTGGAGCTGGGGAGGGGGCGCGGGGGGGGCTCAGCCTCCTGTCAAAGTTCTAAACTCCTTTTTCCCCCCCCTCGCACCCTCTCGGGACGCCCCGATGGGTCCCCGCCACCCTCCCCACCGCGGTACCACCCCCGGCCGGTGGAGCGGGGAGGGGGCGCGCTTTAAATGCCGTCCCCGGGTGGGAGCGGGCGAGAGGGAGGCGACGGCCCCCGGCGGTCCCGGCCATGGGGGTGAGCTGGGGCTCCGAGCCCCGGGGGGGCCGTGGAGGGGCGGGAGGGGAAGGGGTCTGGGGAGGGGGCTCCCTCCCATCCCCCCCGCCTAGTCTTGCCTCCTGTCTCCCTCTCCCCGTCTCTCTCTCTCCCTCCTGATGTTTGATCCCGCCGCGGCTCCCGCAGGGATGAGCGATGGAGGGGCCGAGCCCGGCGGGAGCCCCGTGCTGCTGGCCGAGCCCGCAGCCACCGGGCGGGCCCGGGAGAAGGCGCCGACCCGGGCGGAGCTGGAGAGCGCCCTGCGCGGCGGCGGCGGAGGCGGCGGCGGCTTCAAGGACATCCCTGGAACGTCGGCGGTCAGCCCCGGCTCCTCCAAGGAGTGCGCCCCGGACACCGAGAGCCCGTCGGGGACCGGCGAGGCGGATTACTGCCGCCGCATCCTGGTGCGAGGTACGGGCAGGGTCCCCGCTCCCGGCTACCGTTCCCCGCTTCCCCCTCCGGGAGTTCCCGCTTCGAGGATGGGGAATCCCCGGCACCGCTTCCAGCGCATCCCGGGCGCTGCCCGGCTGCGTGCTCCGATCTCCCGGCCCCGCCGCTTCCCCCGGCTTCGCTCCGTGCAGCACGGACCGGGCCCGCTGCCCCAGCCCTGCTCCGCCGGGAGCGGGCTCCGAGCGGAGCCGTGCGTGCCCGGCGGGGTCCGGGGAAACAGGCGAGGGGTCACAGACCCCCGGGCCGGCCGAGCCCCGCGGGGACGCGCGGGCGGCGGGAGAGGGGGGACACATCGCGTTTGAAGCGATGTCGCAGGAGAAAAGCGTCACGTAGCGGCGGCGGGTGAGGGGGGGAGTATTTTTTTTTTTCCCCTTTATAATATCCCCGACTCGGCCGGGACTGGGGCACGGCGGGACCCGGAGCCGCCGCGTCCCGCATCCCACATCCCGGATCCCGCCCTGTCGCCCGCGCTCAGTCCCCGCCGGCCCGGGGCTCGCCGGGGCCAGTCTGGCTTGTGGCGAACCCCGAGAAGTTTGGGGCGCCTCGGTGCGGCTGCGACAGGCGGGCGGGGACCGAGCGCTCCTCGGCTCGGGGCTCCCGCGGCTCCGGGGATGGTCATCTTTCCCCCCGCTCCCTCCGCGGCTCCCGGAGCCCGGAGCAGCTCGGCGGCCGCTTGGCGATCAGGGCTGAGGCCTCCCGGTCCCCAGCCCAGCGCTCGGGCAGGGCGGCGTGGACCGGAGCCGCGACCGTGACCTCCGTCCTCACCGCCCCGGGGGCGGCGCGGACCGGAGCCGAGTCCCCGTTCGATCGCCATCCCGGGCCGGGCATCCCGGCAAACGGCCCCGCCGCTCCCCGGAGCCTCTTCGCGGCTGTCGCGATGGGCACCTTTCGCTGACAGCTCGACTGTCGCAGTCCGAGCCCTCCGAGCCCTCCCCGGGCAACTCGGCGGGGCAGCGGGCAGCGTTCGGGGGCCGAGCCCGAGGGTCCCGCCCGGGGTATCCCCGCATCCTGGGGGTCGCCGAGCCGGGCCGCCGCCTTTCCCACCGGGGTCAGGCCGGGGTCAGACCTCTCCTCCGCCAGTTTCAGTCCTACTGAGGCCGCCCCAAAGGTCCCGGGGCTGGGAGCGGGGCGGGGGTCGGTACCCAGGCCCGGGGCAGGGTCCCCGCTGCCCCCGACCCCAGAGACCCTCACCCGGGAGCGCTCGGTCTCACCATCTTACTGCAGCTGCCACGGTGCGGACAAAATGGTGGCGGGGAGAATCGCCGCAAATAACCGGGAACGGAGCCGAAATGAAGCGGGGGGGGACGTAGTGGGGACAGCCGGTGTGCAGGGCCACGGACCCACCGGTCCCCGCCCGCCCCTGGCCGGGGTCCCTCAGCCGGGCAGGGTCAGGGCCGAGCATCGGCCAGGCCCGGGCAGAGCTCCAGGTCGGGTTTATGCAAAGTGGGAGGTTAAAATATTTATTCTTATATTTTTTAAACGCACTTTTCAGTATTTTTAATTCCACCCTCGCCACCAACCCCGGGGACGGGGCCACATCGCCCCTCACCAGCCCCGACCCCTATGCGGGTCGGCAGCCGCGGAGCTGCCGCCCACGCCGCTCCAGCCTCGGCGTTCGCCCGCGGTGCCTTCGGTGAGGACAGGAGTCCTGGGCAGCCTCCCTCTCGGGGTCTCGGTCCGCTCCCTGGCACAGCTCGGTACCGGGGACGGGGCCGTTTCGCCTGCCGGCATCCCCGTCTCGTCGGGCCGGTGGGTCCCGGCCACCCGCGGGTCGTTTTTCCCGGGGATAGCCGGGATAAGGGCTCGGCGGTGGAGGGAGCCGGGCAGCACCGGGGCCGCTCCCGCTGCCAGCGCGGCCGCTGCAGCCCCGGGGGCGGCTGGGCGGGGTGGGGGGCACTTCGGAGTGTTCCCCCCCTGCCTCCCGGTCACCTCCCGGGGCTGCCCCGGCGCTGGGCCCGGGGGTCGCAGACCACAGGGCGGGCCCCCGATGGTATGTGGGGTGCACTAAGAAGGGCTACGGGTTTCTGTGCCTCTCAGTGTGTCTCGAGGTGCCACCATGGCCACCCCATGTCACGGAGAGGGACTGGAAAGACGTGTTGAGGGCTGGCAGGGTGAGTGGGAGCCCCAAAATGTCCTGGAAGCTGCGCTGATACAGAAACCCTCATGCACAGTGAGGTGTGTGGGATGTCCCTCTGCCAGGGAGAGGTGACCCTGTGCCCACATGGGTGTTCATGAAATGTCCCTGTGCCAGGTAGAGGTGTCCCTGTGGACATGGATGTGTGTGGGGTGTCCCTGTGCCAGAGAGAGGTGTCCCTGTGGATATGAGTGCATGTGGCATGTCCCTGTGCCAGGGAGAGGTGTGCCCTGTGCCCACGGGTGTCCTGTGCTATTTTGGGGGATTTCAGTCCCAGACCTTGTCCCAGATCCGCTTCTGTCAGGTGTATCCCGGTCCCCAAGATCAGGGCGTGCCACCAGGGCCCCGCTGGTGAGGCCGAGGGCTGCAGGAGCCCCCCGGGCAGCCAGGCAGGACCTGGCGGGTGTTGAGGGTCCGGGATCCAGCAGCTGATGGGGAAGGCTCTCCAGAGGGGGTCCCACAGGCAGGGTGGTGCTGTACCCTTCCTGGCATGGGGGGACGGCCATGGACCCCCAAAACCCGCAGCGGGGAAGGTCTGTGATGCCCAACAGGTTTTGGGGCTGCGAGGGTTTTGGGGGCGAAGGGTTTGCCTCTCCTGTGCCGAGCTGGCACCGTGGGCCGTGCCCCTTCCTTCCCTTCCTCCCCACGGTGCTGCTCCCCCCGCCCCGGCCCAGCTGCCGGGGGGATAACAATAAATAATGCCCGAGCGATGCCGGCGCGGCGAGGGCGGGGGGCAGAGCTGCAGCTGCGCTCCGAGCCACCAGCCCCGGCTGTTGTTGTGCCGTGGCCCCGGCGTGGGCACGGGCATGGGCACGGGCGTGCGGACGTGGGCTGGGCATCGTCTCTGCCACCGCTCTCCCCTCACAAAATGGTTCCCGGGCTGGTGGCCCGATCCCACTGGAAAAGCCGCCGATTCGCCGACAACCCCTTTCCTTTCCCGCTTCCCCATGCCCACCCGTGGGGTGTGGGGTGTGGATCTGGTCCCACCAGATTCTCTCCCTCCCACCCTGGTTGTCCCCAGGCCCCAGTGAGTCTTTTGGTGCTGCGGTCCCGCCCGGAGCCAGCGTGGCCCTGCCGGGATGGCACCTCTGGATGTGGTGGGAAAATGGCTTCGGGAGCGGGGTCCCTCTCCCACATCTCCCAAATCTGTGCCTGCTCCCCACTCCCACCATCCCCATGCCAGATCCGCCACCCCCACACCAGTTCATTTGCCCTCATCCCAGGCTCTGCCAGTGCTATGCCGGTTACACCATCCCCATTCCAGCTCCACCATCCCCATTCCAGCTCCACCATTCCCATCCCAGCTCTGCTATCCCCACCCCAGCTCTTTCATCCTCATCCCTGCTCTGCCATCCCTATCCCAGCTCTCCTGTCCCCACCCGAGCTCTGCTGTGCCCATCCCCTCTCCGTCACCCCTTCCCAGGCTTCTCCTGGCTGTTTTCCCGCTCCCTACCCCAGCACTTTTCTAATCCCTTCCCGTCTGAGTCAACCGGAGGGAGGGAAGGTCATTGACCTCCAGCCAGGGCTGCTGTGGAGCCTCCGGCCTTGGGAACCAGCACCCCAAAATCAGGGCCTGGCATGGGGCTGTTCCCTGGAGAGACTTCCATGACTGGTTCTTAACCCTCTGGAAAAGGCACAGGGCAGACACAGGGAGCTCTGTGGTCAGGGCTCACCCAAACCAGTTTGCCACTGGTGTTACTGGAGCTCGAGGAGGGTCAGCACGGGGGGTTTGGGGTCTGGCAGGACCCAGTGGGTGATTTCCAAGGCTCCTGTTAATTCCTGGTGCCAGAGCTGGGAGCACCACGAGTGCCACGGCACAGCCCTCGGAGCCGGGACAGGCTCCTGGCGCTCAGGGCTCTGTGGGTTTTTTGGGAGAGCTGGTCCTTTGCCAGTGGAGGGTAAAGCTACGGCAGCTCCTTCAGGGCAGCCACGAGCCACATCCCACGTGGATGGAGCTGATGGGGGAGTTAAACCCTCCGGCTTTTGTTTCCCTGGACAGTCTCAACCTTTCCCAGCCTTGTAAAATTCGCTGCTGGAACAGCTCGGGGCCACAGCACTTCCGAAATGGTCCTTTGATAGCAAACTGCCCCAAAATGGGAGCTGCTGCTTTCCAAGGGAACATTCCTTCCGTGAGAATAATTCTGGAGAGAAGGGAATTGTAACAGAGGTAATTTTTTCCAATATTCCCAAGGAAGGACAAAAACAAAAAATAACATATATTTTTTAATTAAACAAACCTTTAATTCGAATTCTTCCTTGGTATAAATCTGTTTTTTGCTCCTGGCTTTCCCAGCTGTTATTTCCGGAATGAAATGTTCTGTTTCCCTAAAAAACTTTAGGATTTCTATTTATGTCTAAAAGCCCCATAATTTATGGAGATTTGTTGTCGTTCCCTGGATATTTATAAACTTGCAGCGTTTGGTGCCAGAGGGGAGAACCAAACTATGGGATGGTGCCTGTTCAGCTCCAGCTTGTGGGATTTTCATGGATATTCTGCGTCCAGCCCCGACACTCGGGGCGGCACCAGCCCTGACGATGCAGCCGGTCTTTAATTCAATTTAATTAACTTTTCCTCTCCCAACAACTGGGCCTTTTTGGACCAGTTCCACCAGTCCCTGGAGAGGCTTTTCCTGATGGCTTTTCCTGCTCCCACCACAGATGCCAAAGGGACGATCCGGGAGATCGTGCTGCCCAAGGGGCTGGACCTGGACCGGCCCAAGCGCACACGGACGTCCTTCACGGCGGAGCAGCTCTACCGCCTGGAGCTGGAATTCCAGCGCTGCCAGTACGTGGTGGGCAGGGAGAGGACGGAGTTAGCGCGGCAGCTCAACCTCTCCGAGACCCAGGTAAGGCTGGGGGGCTCCCCCAGGCCACGGTCCACGACCCCGTGGCGGGGCCAGAGTTTGGGGGAGGGATGGGGGGGACGCTGCGCTGCTCCAGGGGAACGGTTCTCCTCCATCCCGTTCTCCCAAGCCCAAGGATTGGCTGGTTTAGGGGTGGGGACACGAGGGGCAGCTCTGGGGGGGTCTGCAGGGACCCCCCGCCAGGCAGCAACACCCCGGAGGGTCCAGCAGAGGGTCAAGGCCAGGTTGGACAGGGCTTGGATCTGCCTGGGCTGGTGGAAAGTGTTTCTGGGTGGAGCTGGACGGGCTTTAAGGGCCCTTCCAACCCAAACCATTCCATGATCCTATGAAAGCGGGGAAGAGGAAAGAGCAGGAGGGTGTCAGTGGGGAGCTGAGGTCCTCAGGCAGCCCCCACAGTGGGGTGGGACGTCGTGGGTGCCGTTGGGGTCGGGCTGTGTCCAAGCTGGTGGGTCCCGCACAGACCCTACACCTGCCGCTCCCCAATCCCAGCGGGATGGGGATCCACTGGGGCTTTTCCCTGTGGAACAGTGGCCTGGCACGTCTTCTCCATCACCTCCCTGTGCAGATCTTCGGGGATGGGGAGGGATTTTCCCGGTTTTCCCTCGTTGTGGTGTGGGGAGATGCGGTCGAGCGGAGCGGGAGGGGCTGTGCGGCGCGCCGAGGGTGGTGCATCCAGTGAGGCTGAGGTGGCTTTGGCTTAGAGACTTATGACAAAATAATGAAATAATAATAATAATAATAAATAAATCAAATTAAATCATATTAATAACAACAACAACAACAATACTGTAGTGCAGAACAGCCAGGTCCGCCCCTTCCCTGCCCAGTCCGGCGCAGCGGGAGTCGGTGACACAGTTCCATCAATTCACACGGGCAATAATTCCAATTTTTCCAACCCTTTTGTGGAACAAACCCGTCCTGGGTGTTGGTAGCCGAGCCCATGGCTCCAAGCTCCCGCTGTGTGCCGAGGGGGCTGATTCTGGGGGGACTGTGTCGCTGTGTGGTGTTCTGGCACTGGGTGCGCGGTGTTTTGGTAAGGAAGAGGATTTGGAGCGGGAGGATTTTTTGGTGGCTGTGCCATGGTTGGGAGCAGTGTCCCTGCTTCCTGGGATCCCTCTTCCTGGGATGCCAGTGTCACCTCCACGGAGCTGGGAGTGGCACGAGTGGGCTTGGCCGTGCCATGCCAAGGGAAGGAAGGGCTTTGTCTCCCCAACACAGGCAGCTGGTGAGGGGTCCCTCTTCCTGGAGTCGCTCTTTCTGGGGTCCCTCTTCCCAGGATCTCTCTTCCCAGGCTCCCAGTGTCACCTCCATGGAGCAGGGAGGGTCACAGGTGGGCTTGGCCGTGCCACGCTGCAGGAAGAGCTTTGTCTCCCTGGCATGGGCAGCATCTTCTTGGGGTCTCTCTTCTTGGGGTTCCTCTCCAGGGATCCCAGTGTCACTTCCACAAAGTCAAGAGGGGCTGTGGAATAGGAGCAAAGCATCCCAGTGATCTGGGAGCTGCAGGGGGGTGCCTCTTCCCAGGGTCCCAGTGTCACCTCCACAGAGCCAGGAGTAGCAAGAGTGGGCTTGTTCGTGCCATGATGGGGAAAGCTTTGTGTCCCCAGCATGGGCAGCCAGTGTGGGATCCCTCTTCCCGAGCTCTCTCTTCCCAGGATCCCTCTTCCTGGCGTCCCAGTGTCACCTCCACGGAGCTGGGAGTGACACAGGTGGGCTTGGCCGTGCCATGCCAGGGAAAGGGCTTTGTCTCCCGTCATGGGCAGCTGGCATGGGGTCCCTCTTCCTGGGGCCCCTCTTCCCAGGGTCGCTCTTCCCGGGGCCCCTCTTCCAGGGGTCCCCGTGCCAGCTCCATGGAGCTGGGATGGACACGGGTGGGTTTGGCTGGGCCACGGGGGGAAGAGCTTTGTCCCCATGCCATGGGGGGATGAGGGACACGGGCAGGGTATTGGCTGCCACAGCCCGGGGCTGGGAGGGTGCAGCCTCTCCACAGGGACTGGATTTTCCTCCTTTCCCGCTGTTAGGTGCCTCATTGCTGCCTTCATCCCCCGGTGAGAAACATCCCCCCCTCCGCCGGCCGGCGCTGCCTCCTCCCCTCCCTCCTTCCCGCACCCTCTTTTCTCCTTCAGCTCTGTCTTTTTTAATCCCTTTCTGTGCTTTTCACACCATTTCCTGCCCTGCAGCAAGTTCCCAGTTGTACCTTCCCGGCTCCCCCGGCTGCCAGTCCCTCCCCAGCCACTGCCATCCCCAGGGATCCTCGTTCCAGGCTCCCTGCCCGGCTCCCTCCTCCTCTCCCTCAGTGGGGTGCAGCCCCCCCGGGGATGGGTTCAGGCTCTCTGTACACTCAGGTGTCCTCCCCGCCTAGTCCCTGGCTGTTCCTGGCCGGCAGGTTTCCCCAGGCATTCCAAGAGCTCGGTGACAAAGTTTTCCGAGACCCCTCGAGTCTGGAGGGCGCTGGTCCCTTCTGGATGTGGCCTGGAGAGGGATAGTCACCACCAGCCCCTCCTGTCCCACCCAGCTCACCCACCAGACAGGGATAAATCCATCTTTTGCAGCAAGCCGAGTGTTTTGGGTACTTCTGGTGATTTCCCTCCCAGTGTTATGCCAGAGCAAATCCTAGGATTTAGGGTCGCTCATGATTTAATGGCTTAATTAATTGATCAGGTGTTTTGGTGGAGGGTCCCAACCAGCAGCACCTCATGGCTGGTTTTTGGTTGGCACTGGAGGTTGGGACAGCAGGATGGATCCTTTCCAGCCCCTCGCTGGGTTATATTTTGATTCCAAGGTCAGGAACCCGCTCCTGGTTTCTCTCTGTGCCGGGACCCCTGGATGAGATGGGAGCCCCCTGTGTCCCAGCACGGGAGGGACGAAGGAAGGGGCCACCAGGGATGGGGGTTTTGTGCCTGGGAATGTTTGAGGGGCACGGAATGATTCATCCCTGCGAGGAGGGAGCGCTGCAAACCCTGTGATGAGATGGGAAGAGACGCGATGTCAGCGCAGCTGGAGAGCGGCAGCCGAGCATTCCCGGCAGCATCCCGAGACACCCTGCCAGGGAAAGGCCTTTTTGGGCTCTCACTTCACTTCCCTGGCCCCTGATCCTGCTGTTCCACAGGGTTCGAGGCAGGAGGATCTCACTGCCCGTGCAGGGGAGCCGGGATGGGACAGGAAGGAGGCGATTCCGGCTTTTTTGGAACTGGATCCACACCCGGGGGGGGGGAATCAGCCACGGAGAGAGTGGGATCACCCAGGGGAGAGGGGGATCACCCAGAGGAGAGGGGAGGATCAGCCAGAGGAGAGGGGGATCACCCAGGGGAGAGGGGAGGATCAGCCAGAGGAGAGGGGGATCACCCGGGGGAGAGGGGAGGATCAGCCAGAGGAGAGAGGATCACCCGGGGGAGAGTGGGATCACCCAGGGGAGACAGGAATCACCCTAAAGTGAGGCAGGATCATCCCGGGAGAGGGGGAATTGCTCAGAGGAGAGGGGGGATCAGCCAAGGGAGAGGGGAAGTCACCCAAGGGAGACAGGAATCACCCAGAGGGGAGGCGAGGATCATCCAGGGAAAGGGAGGGAATTTCAGAGCCACTCATGCTCAGGCCAGGATGCTTCTGCCTGCCCAGGGAATTCAGCTCCTCCCCCAGTGATCCCTGTACCTGTTCTCCCAACGGCCTCTGTGCTTTTCCTAATTAATCCATGGACACGATCAGCGTTACATGGGTTTAATTAACCCGGAGAATATTTTCACTGGAGAATATTTTCCTGGAGATGTGGAGGTGCCGGCGGCTGCGTTCCCGGCGAGCCCTCGGGTCCCTGGGATGAGCGGGGCGGGGTGGCCCCAGCCCATCCCAAATTCAGAGCGCAGCAGTGTCCGTGTGTCCCGCATCCGGCTTTCTCCGGGAGACTCGACCCGACCATCGGGGGAAAAGTGCCCCTTCTTAGTGTCATTAAGGGATCGAAAGCGCCAGGCGGGGCAGGCAGAAGGACCCCGGGGGGATGGCGGAGGGGGATAATTCCCACAAATCCCTCATCAGGAGGGATGGGATGGACTGGCTGAGGGGATTTGCTCTCTGGGTCAGGAGTTCAAAGCCAGGCTCAGGTTCAAGTGACCCGGTGTATTTTCCAGCTCTCCCTGCCCTCCTTAGAGCGGGGACAGGACTGGGACACCTCAGACACCGCACAAGGACGGGCTCTGAGCCTTGTCCCGGTGCCAGGAGACAGCTCCTCCCTTCCCAGGGACTGCAGCTTGGGGTTGGACAGGGCTGGCCCCGCTCGAGGAGATGGTGCCTGGGAGCACTGCTGGGAACTCCTGGGAAACTCTGGGATGGGGCACAGAGTGTGCAGGGGTCAGTGGGGCACTTCCAGGAAAAGTTCAGGTTGGATATTGGGAAAACTCCTTGCTGCAAAGGGCTGTCCAGCCCTGGCACAGCTGCCCAGGGCAGTGGTGGGGACCCCGTTCCTGGAGGGATTTAACAGCCCTGTGGATGTGGCACTTGGGGACACGGGTCAGTGGTGGCCTTGGCAGCGCTGGGGGAATGCTGGACCCGGTGACCTCAGAGGGCTTTTCCAACGTGAATGATTCAGTGATTCCATGATTCCTGCCTGCCTGGCTGTACGTCCGTGGGACTCCCCCGGAGTTCCCCTGGCTGGGATGGGCTCCATCCAGACCTTCCTGGGGACAATCTCCTGGGCCATCCCGGTGGAGGTTTGGGCTCCTGCAGCTCCATCACTGCCCCAGCAACCCCCGGAGCATCCTGTGACCCCCAACACAGAGCAAAACGTGTGTGAGGAGCAGCTGAGGCAGGGGAGGGGTGGGAGGGTCTATTTATAGCCTGGCAATTAAGATGATGCTGTTAAAAATTAATCTCACCTCAGGTTAACAACTCTCAGTCCCTGCAGCGAGAGAACAAGGGAGCAGGGGGTGATGCTGGCACAGGATTCCTCTCCCGAGGGGAGGAGCAGGGAAGCTGAGGGCAGGAGGAGGATGTGGGAG